CTCTCCAGAGCCCAGTGTGCCCTGGGGCAGGTTGGGTGAGGGGGTGTTTCAGAAGCCCAAGGCCTACGGGGTGTCAGCTGTGGGAGCCCCCACCCAAAAGACCTTTGAGTTGTGCCAGCCCGTGAAGAGGGGACCCATTCTGTGCTGAGGGCCCCAAGGGCACAGCAGAACTTGTAAACCTCTCTGGGTGTGGGTGGGGTGGGGTGGGGACTGAAGTCACCAGGGCGGGTGCCAAGGGGTCAGATAGCCAGACCTGAAGCCCAAAGGAGCTTGGTTCCAGGCTTTGCCCAGTAGTGAGGCAGCCCTGCCCATCCCCTTCTCCCCCAAGTAGGCTTTGGGTTTACCAAGCCCCCCACTGCCCCACACCACACACACATGTGCAAGCCAAGCCAACTTCTGCAATCATCTTTACTCATTTCCATGTCCACTGCCCACCCACCTCCACGGGAGTGCCACAGAGCCCTGGACTTCCCCATACCCGCCCCCAGGAACCCCACACTGCCCAGCACACCAGTTAAACAAGTAATAAACCCTCCCCACCAAAGGAGCCATGGTGTCATGGTTACTTGATGGGCAGCTAATCACAAGGTCGGCAGCTCGCAACTACCAGCCGCTCCACAGGAGAAAGAGGAAGCTGTCTACTCCTGTAAAGAGTGACCGTCTTTCAGCGGCCCACATGGGCAGTGCTACCCAGTCCACCCTCATTGCCATCAAGTCAATGACAGGGTCTCTGGATGGCAGTCAGTCTGTCACCGGAGACGTGGGGCATGTTGTCCACTGCGTTACGGAGGGTGGGAGAGGAGCTGCTCTGTGCAGGTGTCCTGGCTGTGTGCACACTGGGTGCAAGTTGACAGGCTTCTCTTCGGTGCCACCACCCCCAAATTTTGCTTCATAACCGATTGAGACCCTTTTAAAGGAGACCCTCCCTCCATTCGTTACCGTGAAGTCTCTTTGGGCAGGGAGGCCGAGAGTGCCCAGACCAGCAGGTGAGGGCTGCAAGCACCCCCTGCCCTTGACCTGACAGCTGACAGCCACCGGGCCCAGTCCTGCTTGTTCTGGCTCCTGATGGAAGCCTGCCCTGCCTTGTGCCACGAGGCTTTCATAGCAGCGCCCGACGCAGGTGGCTACCTATACAACCTTCCCCTGCTGGCCTCCACCGGTGACTCAACCTCCCTCGGAGCTCAGCACCCACCCTCACCCCTCCTCCTCCTGGCCTTTAGGAAGGAGGGGGTGTGAGTCTCAGCCCCACCCTGGGCAAGCCAGACCTGATCTCCAAGTTCCAGGGGTAGAGAGCCTCCAAGCTTCCAGCTCCGCTGCTCCCTCCCCCAGGCTGCCTGGAGGCTCTGGGAATGAGGATGTGGAATGTCTTTGGAAGCTGCAAGTAGGGGCAGGCAGCTGTGTTGAGGCGGGGCTCAGAACCCCAGTGCTTCCTGCCCGGAGGTACCACCCACCTCCCCTCCCTCATCTCTGCCTTTGTGTCCTCCCTGACTGGCTCCCTCTGTATGTGTGGGGGGTGGGTGGGGAGGACTCCTCTGTTAAGCAATGAATGACACTCCAAATGTCAGGTGCCCTGTAGCCTGAGTAAGGAGTCCTGCTGGCGTAGTGGGTTACATGTTAGGCCGTTAAACTCAAGGTCAGCAGTTCAAAAACCACAAACCGTTCTTTGTGGGGAAAGATGAGGTTTTCTGCTCCCGTAAAGAGTTAACACTCTTAGAAACCCACAGGGCAGTTCTACCCTGTCCTATAGGGTCGCTGTGAGTCAGAGTGGCCACGATGGCAGTGAGTTCCGGTTTGGGGTTTGGGTTTTGAGGACCGGAGAGGACTCAGCCCACCCCACCCTCAGCAAGCTCCATGAAGTCGCCCTGCCTGAGCTTCTCCGTGTGTGTGTGTGTGTGTGTGTGTGTGTGTGTGTGTGTGTGTGTGTGTGTTGGGTGGGTGGGTGAGCAAGGCCTCCTCCATTCTGGGCTCACCATCCACGGGGCTAGCCAGGAATCTCCAGCCCTTCCACCCAGAGAGAGGACTGTGGCCCTAGCATTGCCTGGCAGGATGCCTGGCCTGTGCAGGACAAGGCCTGGGTCAGCTAGGGCCTACCTCTGCCCAGAGTCTCACTTCCGCCTGGCGTTGGCAGGAAATCCTGAAAATCCCACGGACTGCCAGGAGATGACGAATCTGCCTTGAAGACGTGCAACCGGAATGTTCCTGAGAAGCAAAGACGAGAGACTTCATTTTACACACCTGGACGCATGGTCTGGACAGCCCAGTCCGTGGCAGAGGCTGCGTACCCGGCAGAGTGGAGGGCAGTGGAAAAGAGGAAGACCCACCAGGTGGATTGACAACATGGCTGCGACCGTGGGCTCAAATGTAGCACAGTTGTGAGGGAGGGTAGGGTGGGCCCAGGTGGCCTTTTGCGCTGTTCGGTTCTGCATAGGGTTGCTATGGGCCGGGACCGACTCCACAACACCGAACCACCACCACCTCCTCTGCACAGGCTCCACATGGGGCTTCCCTGGCCCCTAAGCTTGTCCTGGCCCCCACGTCTGCTCAGGGCAGGCCTGCCGGTTGGGAAGGGGGTGTGGAGGCGATGTGAGGAGCACCTAGTGTTCAGAAGAGGCCCTTGTTCTTGCCCTTGGGTTGGACGGACGGGAGGGAGGGGGGCAGAAGGGCAGGTTTAGGGTGGGCAGTGGGCCCCCGGCTCCGAGCACTGTGTGGGATGGGGGTGCCATGGAGACTTGCCTGGAGCACCTGCCGTGGTCCCGCTCCTGCTGGGAGCTGATTGTGAAGACAACTACAGGGCAGCCAGTGCCAGCTGGTCAAGAGCCCCGTCAGCTGGGCTGCCCTTCACCACCAGGCACTGCTGCGCACCCCTTCTCTGGTGTCCTGCCTGAGCCCCTCACCTCCTCTTCCACCCTGCCTTCCTGCGCAGCCCCGTCCCTCCACCACATCCAGCTGCAAGTCTACCTGTGACCCCCTAGGGTGTTGCAGCCTCCAGGCCAGGTGGGCACACAGATGCTCACCCGGGCCAGCCCAGCCTGAGCTGGCAGGTAGGTCAGAGGCTGGCTCAGCCCGGCAACCCAAGCCCCACCTCTCAGGCTCTGCCCGGCCACCTGTCCCAGTTCCATGGCCACTCTGCAGGCCTGGGCCTCTGCCGCTGGCCTGACTGCCCTGGGTCAGGAGCCCAGCCAGCTTGGCTAGGCTGGC